TGTGGAGTTCGTCTGCAACTTGATCTTGCGCAAGGACGACTCCGTGGAAATAGATTAACCCATTGAGGCAATGCAGTAAGGTGGCTGATCTAATTAACTTAGAACTGGACTATTTACCTCTCGGTCTCGCGCCATCTATGAAACCTGCAGGGCCTAGAGCCGCGATGTGGTCGGAGGTGTGCGTGTAAAAGAACCGTTCTACTAGTGATGATTCGCTTTTTCAATACGCCTAGCAGTCTTTTTGACCCACAATCATGGTATTTCATAGCAGTCCTACGGAGGGGATTCTCTATCATGACTCATTCCGTCAACCGGTTTTTGTTGTGCTCTGAGCCGAAAAAGATCCCCCTTCTGCAGGTATATTTGGTTCTCACGTCTACCCTCCCTCCCCCGACAGTCATTCACCCCGAAAGTTGCCTAACCGTCGGGCAAAGAAGAAGCGAGAAAGCGGCACAGCCCGTGCACCCTCTACCAGACATCACAGAGTCACCGAATACAGTGTTCGCCAATCGGACACACTGGATATGTTTGCAAACACGTCTGATGAGTTCTCTATTCGCCTCCCCTCGGCCGTGCGTACTTTATATGCCTGCGGTTTCCGCGCCCATTCATTAACTCATGTTACAAAATGAAAACCATATGTGAGATAGAGACAACTATTCTTATTTATTACTTGCCTTTCTATTGCATATATATTTGATCAATACAAATTTTTATTTCAAACCTTGTTGTAATTACAGTTGCAAAGAATCAATCCAACCTGCCTAGAGGTACGGTACAAAAGAATCTTTTCCCACGAGTGACGGTGAAACTCGCCCTAGTCACCGCCACAATTCGGTTACCGGAGTAGAATGGTTCTGATCACGAGAATATCTAGGTTCGCTTGTTTCTCCTTGGTCTTAAAACCGTTCATCGGGTAGACCTAGCTGAGGCCTTATTCGTCTGCCACTCCAAGCCTCAGAATTATGGTTGCCCATTTCTTTCTCATAACGTGGATATGGCAGTACGAAATCGCTCGCAATGCAAACATGACCTCATTCGCATGAGTAAGCCAACCGTCTCTGTCCGAATTGATGGGGTTCCATCTCAGCTGTTCCCTGTGAATGCTGTCCTCCTCCAAAATTCAGTAGGTGCGCCCATCTTATTTTCTATCAATGACCTCCTTTCCAAAACGGTCAGCTTAATTTTTGTAGTTTGTATGATACCCTAATATGAGGACCATCTGACGGGGTAAACCCCAGTGTCGAGGATCTGCTGTTCAGTCATAGAAACCGATAAACTAGGCCCCAGGAATCGGAATGACTAACCGCATAAGGTTCTGATAGGTAGGCGTTTTATTGAACCGGAAGACAGTAAAGCTGCCTGCCACCGAAGTTGGATGACGGGGCTCGGACTATAGCGTCCAAAACACGACCCCACTACCACCCAATGCATTTTTTGCCGACGATACGACCCTTCACTCCCACTTCCAATACGGTTATGTTCACCATGCCCGAACCAACATCGAGCGTGACCTTAGTGCAGGCAATGTGTCACTGGCCTCTGGTATCGAGCACATCTGGGGCTACAGCAATCACGCTGCATCCAATGCCTCCAAAACACTTCTTTAAATTATCCTGAAACGCCATTCATTCTCCTCCTCGCACTTATTCTTTGACCCTATCCAACTGTGTTCCATAAACTTTGTTTCTCTTGGATTGCGTACAACTTAGTTATGCTAGTCCCTGTTGTATCTCAACTTGCTTCTCGAGCTGTGTATTGGATTTGTATTCCGCAACGGACGTTTCTTCACCCCAGCTCTCTTCCACTACACCATGCCCAAATCCGCCCTTTTCTTGATCATAGCAGTCACCTGTAGGGTGGGGTTTCATCTTCTCTTTCCCTTCTTGATCAAATTGAACGAAAGGAAATCGGGCTGATGGATAATCCCTCGCCTACATCCAATCTGCCCGCTCATCTCATACACAAGCACCTAGTCATTCTTATCGGATTTCAGTAACCAGATGTCGTACATCTCTATTGTGATCTTGTTTTTTCTCGGACTGCCAAGTTGTGGAACACTCTGCTTTCACTTAACTTGCAACTTTTCGCTCTTTAAACGGAATCAATGGAATAGATCTTACGTGAATGTTCCCCTACCCTCTCTTATATCTCAATTTTTTGATTCGTATTGATTCCTCTTTTTACTGTCATTTCTCATGTCTGGTGGGAACATCGGGTGAGCAATGACGAGGTTCGTCGTCATGTGCTGGGCGTGAATAGTCGTTCTCTGAAAGAAGTAATCGCTCTACACCGCCTCCGATGGCTTGTTCACATTGTCTATGCCTGCCCATCAACTGTCTATCTGAGCGCTCCGCTGGATCGATTTACGGATCATACAGTTATGGTACGTCGAACTTTAGGACATGACAATGTTTCATCCAGTTTTCATTTGTTGTCACACGCCTGGGTGCAGATTGTGCACCAAACAAATCACGGTACAATAGTCTTCAGATAAAAGAATAAGAGATCCATGATTTGCTGATGTAGCTAAGTTGCACTGGGCAAACTAGGTGAACTTTCTTAGGGAGTCCAGAACCGGAGCCTTCGGCTAACCAAAGCCTAACTTGCAAGGCAGTGTTTGAAAAGCGGAATCCTCTAAAGGCCGGTGTTCAGTGCATCGGCTAATACGCCCTTTGGACGGGGTCAAATGTCCAAGGTGCTCAATACACCTCGATGTCAAATTTAGCCGGTGACCACCACAGCCAAGATGGTATGGGTGGGTGTGGTTTGTACGCCTCTTCTTGGTTGGTTTGGACTCAGGGTATTTAAACATCTACTCTTCCAGTGGTTCACCGATCCGGTTATAACCCCAGTTGTTGTTTTTCTGCCCTCTCTTTAGTGGGAAGACAACACTACCACAAGGCAGTTAGTCGGGCTCCCTCAGTAGAGGTTATTTGAGACGCCTGGTCAAATGAGAGCATTTCGCGTGGGGTAACCGATCGAAACCCGAGACACCCCCACCACCATACTGAAGCTTAATGAGTTAGGAGCAGTCGTAGCTCCTGCCAATCTCAGTGCCGCAACACATGACTTGACATTTCTGGAGGCATTAATGTGTTTGCACAACACCTTGGTTTTGGATATAAACTTTCCCGCACCAACTTGGTGGAGTGGTTGAGCAGTAAACAGTAGGTATAACACGTGTTGTTACAAAGAAATCGTATGTAGGCTCTCCATGTGATAGTCTGCCAAATTCACTTATTTTTCTTCAAATGAGTAGGTAATGTATTTAATCTTGATCACGGTCTTCATCATTTCCCTGAAGTGAATCGTAAATTCTTGCCATGATCCCAGGGAATCACGCTGTTCGTTTGGAAGCTTCCATTGAAAGTCTTGCCAAAATCTTAAGTTTAGTATATTCAATAAAGATATGAATGTTGACCGTGGGAATGTCCGATAAATATGCATAGCAAATGTAGTCAAACAACAATACAGCATGATTATTACGCCCCATTAGATTTTTTGTAGAAATCGTTTTCACCATCGATCGCTCGTTTGTTAGAACCAAGTCTAAGACTGACGATGACTGATTTGGCTCCCAACCTCGTTAGTTCCTTCACAAAAATGTCAAGTGGATACGATTCAATAAACTGGATGAATTTCATCTCAAGCGGTTGTGTAGAGGCCACTGATTTAGCCAGGTTTGGGCATTTGAAGTCGTCCATAATGAGAACATGCGTGAACTTCAATGACAGGATATGATACATGGTTTGCAACAGTATCTGATTTTTTGAGACTGTGGATGAAGAAGAGCGCTACACCACCGATTAAGCCGATATCGCGTCGGGGTACTCGCACTCTGCGCCACAGTGAGTCGGAAGCCGCAGCAGGATAGTCACTTACCACGTATTGTAGTTTACTGTTAAATTTAATAATACACCACTACCCCTCGTAGAGTGATCGCGTCATGCCGAATAAGCGTAATCTGAATGTTACCAATAAAACACTGCGCTCATTGCATCACAGCGAGGCGACCAATCAATCTCCGGTTGTTGCACTTCATCAGTCAACCTCAAACTTGGTGACCAAGAAATATGAATTGATTAGGGCATGATAGGAAAGGCGCTAGTAGCAGATATTTGGTTGCCCAAGAGTTTTGTCCACACAATAGGTTTTGCAGTTTCACATAAACAAACCAAAGTGTGATCGATATACTAGCTCACGGCAGCTTTGATGAGACATCAAATAAGGCCAACCAATATCTATTAGCTCAATTCTAAGGGATCACAGTGGACCACGGCGAATAGTATGTAAGAGTTACTTGCCCCGTTTAAGGTCGATCGAATGGCACATAATGTGCTTATCTGGGATTCGAGAACATGTTAGGAGGTCAACCGTGGTTGGATAAGTGCAACTTGTCATATCAACACAGCTGATGAAACTGGTGTTGGTGAAATTTCATTTTAATGGCGCCTGTGACGAGCACCGTCAGCCAATCAGAATCTACAGTTCTATGAAAGCTGATGACAATAGCAATGACCTAGAATGTACTCATTATTGGCCACTATTTTCTCCGTCCGTTCAATTTGCGGTTGTCAATAAAATCTTGCTAGTATTCCTCTACTCGATGTATTATCTAGTTCATGCGATCTCTTCGCGACTACTGTTAATTATTTATTACCATTCAGGAACAACATGAAAATGATGCAAGATTTCCGATGTGGAAATTAAGAGAACCAGTTACGGTTTGCAATCGCGACTGCGGTAGCAGCCTCTTCCTTTGGGTGTTGATTGAATAAACCACCCAGCAGACGGAAAAGTAAAAAAAATCAACGTAAAATCCTTTATTTTTACAAAGTAGTCTTTTGTTCAATCGGAACTATTGCGCAGCCAACCTATGTACATGCACACACGCGCACGAAAAATAAGATCGCCCTCGACTGAACCCCTGAGTGAATGAGATAGACGACCGGCTGCTAGTCGGTATCTCCCGGTAAATTACAGGTAGACAATAAATTCTAGGAGCACGGACTATGCGAAATAATACGGCCGGGAATAGCGCTATTCAACACGACCGGACTGGATGTGAGGAAATCTGCATGCAAGCTAAGACGATCTTCCAAACAGTAGACACGACACGGGACGACCGACAGGACGGACACCTCACGAACAAAAGACGCCGGGGATTGAGAGCAATCGGCTTGTGGATCGGCAGCTATCTTTGCATCCGTGGGAGTCCATTCGATTCGTAGAGTCGGAGACCGTTCATTCTTTTTCGGTTCATTGGAATTTGGAGTAGAGACTACTTCCCAGTTTGTGACGTTCTTCAAAAACTAGATAGGGGTTGAAAAGAACAAAACAGTGGCGACAAAATCAACAGATCCGGATTGAGAGAAGTTGGCGATTCGGCACAAATTAACGGAACGGTAAATTGTTATACAAGAACACACGAATAGGAATAACTGTAGCCAAGAGAGGTAGCTAAATTATTCATAATTCAAAACGGATTATTAAGTGACGCAATTCACAGAGAAAAAGGCAGAGTTGGAACCATGTTTCACATCCACATGCCGCAGAAGACCAATGGAGAAGATGCATGAACGACACTCAGCCGTATCACAGTATCTCTAACCATTGGGTACAAGGATTACGAAGTCTCCATCCAGGGAGCCTAACAGGACCTATATAACCGAGTCTCCTGGTTAGGGTTTTCCTACCCTTATACCGGGTCTTAGTTTGACCATCCTAGACTTTAATCCACCCACTACCTGCGTCGACAAACTTCGCGCGCCATGAGAACCCATTTGGCCGCATGCCTAACGTATACTCCAAGCAAAATATTGTTTGGAGGTCGAACAATTGCTCCAGTGAACGACCGCGATTACCTTAAACATGGTGTCTAACCTCAGCATTGCTGATACAGTTTCCCCACCATATTCGGCAATGCTGCGTAGACAGCAGTGTTAGGACGTAGTCTATCTTTATCCTGTTTTCCTAGGGGTCAGGTTTCTGCGCTGTGTAGCCAAACTGGTCAAAGTGCCACAGCATACACTCAACCCTTTACAGACAGCTGGATATCGCGACGGTGCACCGATGTCTCAGGTCGGCAAGTGCCTCCAGTATGCGTGCCGACACTTCATCCACGATGCGTCCACCGGGTGAGATATAGCTGCCCACACAAAAAAATTGTTTACTTGCTCTATTAGTTCCCTCATGGGAGAGCGACTGGATGCTGGATTGACCCAGTTTTGTAGCAAGAATTTACACTTTGAAGGTGCAAAACGCATATCGAACATGGCTACAATAGCATTCAAAATATCCAGATAAGCTTGCAATTTATCGGGATCTTCACTAAGCAGTACACTGTTGTCTGCATACTCCAGATCTCAGTCTGCCACCTGGGAGCCAATCGATGCTGCTATCTCCGCACGAGGACAAGACTGTTTTAGGAATGAAATCTATGCCAAAAATAAATAGAAACGGAGAGAAGCAACTCTGAATATCCACCTCTCGGGGTGTAAAAGCCATTTCTTGACTTGAACACTGTTTTCCGAGGTGAGCTCGGGTGAAAACGTGCCGTAAGCTCGGACTCGGCTTCAGCTATGAGTATAGAGTGATCGTAATATTGAAATAAATTTCTCGGGCACACCTTTCAGAGAAAGGCAGCGCCAGAGTTTAGAGCGTTCGACTGAGTCGAAAGCTGCTCTCAGATCGAGGAAGATAGAAACGGTGGGGCTACGAAAAGAATGACTATGTTCTAAAATTCGACGGGGAATAATCTCAACGAGAAGGTTAGAGGTAATGTTGAATAAACTAATTACTAATTTGTGGTTTTCACAAGAGAATCTGTCACATTTCTCGTAAATCAGTATGATAACCGATTCACACCATTTCGTTGGAACCTCTTAGCTCCCCATATGGAGCGCAGGAGTTTCGTCAACTCCAAGACCAACACTCAATTTTCATCCTTGAAAACCGATGGGGACAGCCTCCAGGCCAGAGGCCTTATAACATTTGAGATAACGTATCTCCCGTTTCACATGGAAGATTGATATCTACTTGCAGTATTTTCTCAGTTGAATCAGGTGTTGGGAGGTTTTGTGCCGACGGGGACCAGGTGAATTGAGCTTCGAAATGTTGAGACCATCGTTGGAGACGGCATTACTGAACAGGAAACAGGTTTCGGTCAGAGGGATTTGCGCGATTTGTTGTATTGGGTATCAGAAGGAATGGCTTTGCGGGCGTCCAGCAGGACTGTCGAGGTTGAAGAGATCCATCGTTTTTGAGATGATCATGAACCGGAAACTGCCACTGTTTTGATTGACATTTGGATCGTTGCCTTGATTATTGTCCAGTGTCCACTGAGTTCTTCGGTTGGTTTTTGGGACGGATGGCGACCAGAGATCCGCTTTGAAGGCCGACTTTCAATTATTCCTGACATACTACTGTGGGCATCCGTTNTTCCGGTGGTTTTTCCTGATTGTTTAGCAGACTGGCTCGTATTGGATCATGGTCGTGTCCACGGGCATTAACCAGTGTGAGCAATAGTCTGATACGCTCCAGCCGTAACTGATAGTGATACGGTCAATGCAAGCCCATGGCTGTGAAGAGGTTGGTGGCTTCCAAGTAAGGTAGTGTTGTTTCCTGTGCAAGAAGTTGGTACTTGACAGAAACAGTCTGTGATCAGTGCATATTTTGCAGATATCCGCTTTCCTTTGGTTGGCTTGTCGACCGATCTGATAGTGTACTGATGTTGAACTCGGCTAAGTGAGAAGCAAATTGGGGCTTCAAAAATCCTATAACTTCTGATTGTTTTGCCTTTCTGGTAAAACGCTGTGTGATATCCGATGCCTGGTGTAAACAGAGATTATCTGGGACTACGAAGGAGAACTAGATACCGGGAAAGAGTTTTTCATAATGGGTGCCGAGAACTCCAGGGCATAACCTACTTAGGTTTTTATTTGAGAACCATAACCGGAGCCTTCGACTTAAAAGTCTGACTCGCAAGGCAGTGGGGCGTAGATCACAAGCCGGAGCGTAACCGAAGCACACTATGTGTTCTTCTAGGGACCTGTCACGTAAGGCCTTTGGGTTTCGCTTCAGTCTATTGTTCACTGGTGCGTTGATTGCCGGTCCGTTATCCAGGATTAGCCCTTAATCTCATGCACCCAACAGGATAAACGGAAAGTGGAGGTGACGGCACTTTAGTTTGAGTTTGCACAACCATTAACCATGCACTATCGTGCTCCGGTTTTGGTTGCTATCTTTCGGCTACCCATTTGGATGAACATTAAGAGAAAGACAGGAAAGTTGAAAGTACAATCGGAGAGAAGATTGAAAAGTTCCGTGAATTAATGATACAGAGAAATTGAGAAAATGCATGAACGCCACTGTTCACGACACTCAGTGTCTCTAACCATCGGGTACGACCATCCCGAGAGCCTCATATGACCTGTGTGACCTAGACTCCTGGTTAGGGTTTTTATACCCTCATCGACAGTCTATCTTTGTCCCGTTTTCTTAATGGTCAAGTTTCTGCTCTATATAGCAGAACTGGCTGAACTACTGCAGCTTATACTCGACCCTTTACAGCGCGACGGCGCCACAGATGTCTCAAGTTGGCAAATGCCAACCGAGCCTTCTGTATGCGAGCTGACACTGCATCCGTGATGCGTCCACCGGGTAAGAAGTAGCTGCCAGATAACAAAACTTTTCCATCTCCTCTATTACTTCTTCAGTTAGAGTGAGGCTTGGTGCTGGACCACCCCAATCTTGTAACAGCATTTCGCACTTTGAAGGTGCAAAACGCATACCAAACATGGACAAGCTAGCACTGAAACCTTCCAGAAAAGCTTGTAACTTTCCTGGATCTTCACTTAGTAGCACAATGTCGTCTGCGTACTCCAGATCAGACAGCCTGCCACCTGGGAGTAAATCTATGCCACTATCCTCGCACGAGGATAGGGCTGTTTCCATAATCAGATCTATAACAAAGTTAAATAGAAAGGGAGAAAGAGGGCAATCCTGACGAACATCACTTTCCGTGGTGAACTCGCGTGAAAAAGTGCCGTAAGCTCGGACTCGGCTTCGGATATGAGTATAGAGGAATCGTAATATTGAAATTAACTTCTCGGGCACACCTTTCAGAAAAAGGCAGCGCCAGAGTTTAGTGCGGTAGACTGAGTCGAAGGTCGCCTTAAGATCCAGGAAAATAGAGATGGTGGGTTTACTAAAAGAATGTAGGAGCTTCAGAGTTTGGCGAACAGTGAAGGTGTGGTTGATACAACCTTGAACAGGCCTAAAACCAGCCTGGTTCTCACGCATGCACTTTTCACATGCGGCAAACAATCGACGGAGTATGATACCTGTGACAAGTTTAGAAGCAATATTGATTAAACTAATTCCTTTGTGGTTTTCACAAGAGGATCTGTCACCTTTTTTGTAAAAAAGATTGCGACTATTACCAATAGTCGCAGTCTTCTCCATCCCTCTGCACTTTCCTATCCACCATTTCTCGCGGTCATTCCTCAGACTCTTTATGAGCTGGCGCTTGAGGGATTTGCGCGCTGTGTCATATGCGGCATCGGGAGGAAGGGTTCAGAGGGCGTCCAGCAGGGCAGACGAGGTCGATGAGATCCATCGCTTGTGTTTTGAGTCTGCGTGAGGGTCTGACGTTGTTTTCATTGATATTTGCATAGCTTCCTTGATTTGTTTCCAGTGTTCATTGAGTTCTTCGGCTGGTGATTGAACTGACAGGCGATCGGAGAATACCGCTTCGAAGGCCGATTTGCAACAATCGCTGACGTTGTTCTGTGGGTATCCGTTTCCGATGGCTATTTCACGGTTATTTGCCAGGCGTGAGGAGAATTTGGCTCGTAGGAAAGCGTGGTCCGTATCAACAGGTGTTGACCAAGAAGAGCGGCAGTCTTCAATTGATCCCCTCACGCGGTAACTGATGGTGATGTGGTCGATTTGGGTCCAGCGCTGTGAAGAGGTTGGCAGTCGCCATGTGAGACGGTGACGTTTCTTGTGTGAGAAGTTCGTGCTTGACAGGAACAGTCCGTGGTCGGCACACAGTTGAAGTAGGCGGTCTCCGTCATTCGTCCGGTTGGCTGGAATCCATATAGTCCACCAAGAAGCATCTCTGATTCGTCCAGAGATCCCACTTGAGCATTGAAGTCTCCAGCGATTGCCACGATGTCCGTTGATCGAACGCTTTGGAGTAATCGAGAAAGGTCCTAGTAGAACTCATCCTTGATTTCGAGGTGTATTGCAATCGGTCGGTGCATACACCGACACGACGAACAAGCATCGATGCGTCGTTCGGTAGCTGTTGCCCCGCGCTGAACCGTTGAGACGTACGGCGAAAAACGGCTTTTGACTGGAATCCAGTTGAGAAGCGAGCGTTCAGCCTTAGCACTTAGCGCAATCCCGACACTAG